AAAGTTTGAGGAAATAAAAGGTGGTTAGATTTGTGTTTCTGTGCAAGCTTTGCAATTGATTGATTGACAGAAACACTTAAAACATTTTTGCTTTATTGTTTTTAATTTTTTTAACAAAACACCAATATTCTTATGTTAGATGTTAGATGTTACCAAACAAATGGATGAGCTTCCATCAGGTAAATCTACTTTATCGCATATTTTCCTTTTGGCAGATCATTCTTAAACTTCAGAGCTCAATGACCAGCAGTAACATAGTTTTTGCCCTGGGCACACTGAGTGATTGCCAGATGTGATTTTGTGTAAGTACTTCCATCTCTAGAATGAGCACAGATGGGAAGCTTATTAAGAAGAAGAAGAAGAAGAAGAAGAAGAAGAAGAAGAAGAAGAAGAAGAAGAAGAAGAAGAAGAAGAAGAAGAAGAAGAAGAAGGAGAAGAAGAAGATGGACCTTTATTAATCCCCCGAGGGGGAAATTCAGTTTCCACTCTGTCGTACACACACATGCGTTGTTATACAGGTAATACAGTACACACAGTACACACTTTTTACAACATGCACATATGCAAATACACACACAGTTATATGCACACATGCACATGCAGTTGAGAGGTCAGAGCGGAGGCAGCCAGTTTAGCCGGCGCCAGTGAGCAGTTGGGGGTTAGGTGCCTTGCTCAAGGGCACTACGGCAGTGGCCCAGGAGGTGAACTGGCTCCTCTCCAGTACCAGTCAACACTCCATATGTTTTGGTCCGATCGGGACGTGAACCATTAAAGTACATTGGTACTTACAATTACAGAAAGTTACTTATTTGCATGAAAATTGTGGATTTAACCTAGACCTTTTTCAAGTCAAATCAAAAGCGTAACATGGCCAAAAACAATACATTTCATCCAATGGTAAACAAAGCAATGTAACTCAAAAAGAGCAAATACATTTCTGTAATGAAAATAAACATTTGTTTTGCAATAACATCCAACATTGTGGTGACCATATGTTGTCATTGGACATTCAAGGTTCTACTTAAATACACACCTGACATAGTTATTACCATAAGCTTCATTTGTTTGAATATATACCTATTTCCCACAGGTAAGATGAATTCCAATATCGGTTCAACATTAGGAATATATACAATAATCATTGAGGGTAACATTTTCCAATCACACAAAACAACAGGGTGTCAGAAGCTGTTATGATTATTGATCTACATTAAGGTTAGTGAATTCATAGTATCTGGGTGATTCATAACCCCAGTCTGAGCCAAATAACTTAAATGAGTTGTTGCAGAAGAGTATGATTCCAGGTGTTTGTACAATGCTGCACTCAGCAGTCAGCACTCATGCACAGAAACACCAAAAAATACACCCACACCCACAAACACACCCCTGTTTGTACATGCAGCCGGTAAAGTTGTCCATATCAACACTCTGAGGATCCACTTTGGCTTCCTCCTGACACACCTGAGAGCACGGTGCATTTATCTTGGCACACCTTGACACTTTTCACCCCAGTGCTCATCAGTTTGCTGGCCACGCCTGGATGATCATCTAGATCCTGGAATACTTCTGTATCTGCACTTTTTTATAGTTCAGCTGACAAACTGCAAAGCCCTGTGTTGCTCGCTCCATTGAGTCTGTGGTGTTGTTGAGTTTAGTCTGAGAGGTTTCACTGAGCGAAAATCCCTTTTAAGACATTTAAGAGCCTGCAGTATGCCCTTTCTTGTACTTAGTCAAAGCAGATGTCACTGTCTTGATCTTGCAGCAAAACAGAATGAAAAAGGAGTTTTCTTCACAGAGGTTGTTGCGGGGGCACATCAGCAACTTAAAGGGGACCTATCATGCAAAATGCACTTTTGTACGTCTTTTATACATGAATATGTGTCCCCGGTGTTCCAGGGAACTCACCAAGTGTCAGAAAACACAACCCTCTCTATTTTCCTCCATACCCAAATCTCTAAAAAAGGGGCTGCAACGGATCTGATAAAAACTGATCCAGATTTGAACACTTTCCTGACGTCAGGACAGTGGCGCTACGGCTATTGGGCCAACTCCACCAATCAGGAGGAGACAGCCACGGCCATTGCCGTTCGAAAGCGCTGGAGACGCTGTAGTACATATGCCAGGCCTGTAGATGGTGCTGTTCTCACAGAATCTGCCCTTGCAAAAACAGAGCTAAAAAATGTCAAATTGAGCAAAATGAGGCATGGCTAAAATGCATGATCTGTTTGGTATTTTGAAAAAGAAAAAGTATAAATATGCCTTATATAGGTATGGTCCTACACTATATTATTCAAATATAGCATGATAGGTCCACTTTAAGTTTCACAGCACAAAATGCTGCACAAAGCAAAGCAGGAAAAACAGCAACACACTGTAAATGCCAGGGGAGAGTGATATACTCAATAAACGGTAAGGTGAAAATATGAAAGTGCAAATTAGCTATCAAGCACCGTTAAGTTAACGCTCGGAAAACATGTTGAAAATGTGTTTTTGGAGGTGTAAATCAGGTAGACTCACTATTTTACAATATGGTGGATTCAATATGTTTAAACCGGCAATGCATTGTATGATCATCATCTGCTGACACAACTTCAAAAGAAACTGGCATTGGAGCCAATATCCCAAAATTAAAAGATACATTTCTAGATAGCAGTGGAGTAATGTATTGACGTACATTTACTCAGGTAGTAAGATTTTGGGGTACTTTTATTTTAGTTGAGTATTTTTATTTTATGCTACTTACTGTATACTCCACTACAATTTAGAAGCCAATATTGTACTTTTTTCTCAAAAGTCAGTTACTAGTTACTTTACAGATTAGGATTAATGGCTAATCAAAAGTACCTACAGTTTTACCAGCTGTGATGAACACATGAATGCATCAATAATTATAATCTAGTAATTTAATATAAAAGATTCTAAAATGGGACATTACTCGCAATAAGTACTTTTACTTTTTGTACTTTTTTCTTGTAACAGAGTATTTTTACACTGCTGTATTTTTACTTAAGTACTTCTTCCACCACTCCTAGATCGTAAATGCATTTCTGAGTGCTTTTTCTTTTTCAGCATTGTAATGTAATCTTCAAATTAACTTGGTGGTCAAAGGGTAAAATTAACTCAAATGTATTTTACCCTTCGACCCCCTTTTGATCTATCCTTCAATGCAACTATGGAGAACTTCACTGAGTGCTAATGAAAGGTGACATGAAAATGGATAATATGCATTCAAAGAGTTGTCCATTATCATTTCAGTCATTTGGATCAAACAACATGGCATGGTTCGCACTTTTTAATCTTGAATATGTCTCATTCTGTGGAGGGAACAGAACTCTTTAGAGATTCAGGCGGACATTTCTGCTTTTATCCTGGGACACTCTTGGTCCTGAGGCAGGAGGGAGGAATGTAACAGGGCATTTTTTTGCAACTTGGATTGAATTACATTATTATTCCTTGGGTGAGACCCATCTTCAAGTGTGCCTCTTCCCTTTGAGCCAATGTGAGAAAGCAGCTTCAGATGTTAATACACAATATTGCTGAGTGCTGCCTTTTTTGAAGGAGTGCATGGCTGTTCACTTGGCTGAAGAACATCTATTTTTATCTGGGCCAACAGAAGGCCTTCTGGATGGTGAAAGTGCAGAGCAAACAAGTTGCTGCAATTATGAAAGCAAGCCATGCAGAACATCTTTTGACAATAATGCAAATTGTAATTCCCTTGCATTTTTTTAAGCCAGATGGGACACCTTTAACAAACATATAGACAAGGCCATGAGCTGTCATCTGGCAGGTAAATTCAACTTGGAATAATGTTATAATGGATAGAGTTAGGGGCACACACTAAGGCCATTTTCAGGAACTTGAACACAGCAGTGTTAAATAAAAGGTCACACTTTTGGTCCAGTACTTCCTCACTTCCTCATATATATTCACAATAATAGCTATGAAAATATGTTCTTACTTTCTATCTATCTATCTATCTATCTATCTATCTATCTATCTATCTATCTATCTATCTATCTATCTAGATATCTATCTATCTCTGTCTGTCTGTCTGTCTGTCTGTCTGTCTGTCTGTCTGTCTGTCTGTCTGTCTGTCTGTCTGTCTGTCTGTCTGTCTGTCTGTCTGTTATTCATTTCAGGTTACATCACACAGATGGCATTGGTATGCTGCAGGCCTAATAATGATACACTACCGCCCTCATGTGGACAGTCAATGAAAGTACTCCCAATCCTAGATGCACTATATATTTTCTACACATGTAGTACATACAGTAAACCATTGTATTTGAATATTGAACTGCATTACATCTGTTAAGGGTTTGTATTGAATAATTTTAAGGAGCTTTAGCTTTACAAAATATCACAACAGCTGATATCCAATGATTGGTTTAACATTTTATTTTAGATTGTAGGATGAGCTGTATAATGAAGTATATAGATTATGTAGCAAGGCCTGTGGTTTCAACTAAATCATCAATTTCAGTGATATATATGTTATTCTCCCCTGATGTCATAGTTAATGCATTTCCCAATGAAATAAAAGGAAGTAAGACATGAGGTTAAGTGTAAAGGCATTCATACATAGGCTAGTGCAATTGTGTGAAGGCTGGGTTTGAGTTGTGCAACATAATTATTTGCTTAATTTACCTTATAAATACTTGCAAATAAAAGGGGACACTTTCAAAATGTAGGCATATCTATCTGTGTGATTGATGTTTGTGCTTTGCTGTGTAACTATCAGTGATATGATCCTGTAAATTGTTATGTAGGTCTATTGACAGTGAGATAAAAAGCAGTGAGGCAGTAATGCACTTTTGTAAAAGCAATTTGCTTTACATTTTAAATTATTTAAAAATAATTAGAATATGTGTCATATACATGGATGTATAATAAGAACGTCAAGAAAGAATACCGCTATCTTTGTACATGCATGCCTGTACCATGAAACGCCCATTTCCGGATACAAACCAGACCACGCATGCGCAAGATTGAATCCGGTGGCGGGGAATCAAACGACAACATACTTTTATAATCCTTTCATGCGCGGACTGGAGGACACTTTTACTGTTACATTGGTTTTAATATCTGATTCCGAAGATGGTTGAAGGTCCGGGGGTTACATTAAACGGAGAGAAAATCCGTGCAAAAGTTCAAAAAGGACAAAAGATTAAGGAAATCAAAGGCAGTTTGACAACATCCACCGTAAATCATGTTATGTCACTATTGGCGCTGGGATTTGTGTGTTGTCCAGTTTTTAATAATGGATGTATAAAGAGAGGTTTTTATACTATCGTTAACAGGCAGTGCATGCTAACCTATGATGCTAACCATTATATGTCTCTTTACAGAAACATAACTCCGGGGGAAATGCCTTCCAGAGGTTTCATGGTTGTTCGGACACCGGGGTTGAAACGCTTGGCAAGGAGCTCTTCATGTACTTCGGTGCAAAAGCTTTGAGGTAAGGTAATGAAGACTATACATCTGTACAAAAGTGTTACCGAGACTTATTGCTCACTTTACAGCATATACTGCAATGTTAAGCGTGATTTTCTCAAAATAGGAACTAGTCGTGCAATATCCAAATCGTAGTAAGCACAATATTTGACTAAGGCAAAAATAAGTAAAACTAACTTAATTCAGTATGGTGGAGATTCAAAGGAAGTCCCAGCCTACAGAGGTTTTTCTAAAGATCCTCTTTGATAAAATAGACCCTGATCCTTTCAATATATTTATCAATCAGAATCAGGTTTCCTTTATTAGTCCCGCAGTGATGAATATACAGTGTTACAGAGGTTATCTAATGTAAACTGTAGTTTGCATTTCCAGTGACTTCTATTTGATTCTCGTCATATTATGTGACCTGAATTTCAAATGTATTTCTACTAATCATACTTTGTCATATATTATTATTTATTTGATAGCTGTTACTAAACATGGTGCCACTATTATAGCTGTGATATCTGTAAAACAAAGTGAATGTTATATAGTTTTATTGAATTTTCTGCCTGAATTTGACCATCTATTTACCATTTATTTGATTTGTATTATTGTAGTCAGTTATAGCATATAGTAAGTGTTTTTATATAGTCTTTACTACCCCTCAAAGACTTACATTTGACAAGTCATCAAGATCTTCTGCTTTTTGCTAATCCAATGAATCAAATACTTAAAAAACAAACAGATGCTTAATATCAGGGAGTGGCATTGTAAAAAAAAATATATTGTCGTCTTGCACAACAGTATTGTGCTCAACTATCTTACCTTGCTTCTGTCATTGATTTGTATCGTCAATTCAACTGTAAATACACTATTGGAATTTAAGAACAGTTGACACTTTCATACGGTTTTAAAGTAATCTTCATATAATCCACCCCTAATTTTAACCTACACATAGATCAGTTAAGTCCTCTGTATTGGGCCTACAGCTGGTGTGTGTAAAGCACTCAGGTTGGAGTCTTGTGGAGAGCCCACTTGATAGACGCACAAGCTACTGCCCTCCTTGAGCCTGTGACAATTCCATTACACACTGATGTCTGCAAACACAAGGCCACCTTTTTGTTGCCAACTCTGAGATAAATTGAGACATGCTATCTTTAAGTGGAATTTATCTTTTCTTCCCTTCTTCCTTTCATGCTCACATCCTTTAGAATCCACTTTGGTATGAATGGATCAATGCGTCTAAACCCTGCCGTGAGGAAGGAGAGGACTGGCTCCGTACCCGTGCTGGAAGTACACTTGACTAACGACACTGTGTGCTTCTTTGACAGCACTGTGGAAATAAGGTAACGGGGACACCGGCACACAGCCTAGATAGATTGAGGTGACAGAAGTTCACCTTGGGGTATGAGTCTCATTCAGTGGGTTTGTCCTACATTAGGCTGTGTCTGAAGACAGCGGCTATTGTTGCATGAAAAACACAGCCATGACATTTGTCCTGTTCATTGACTCTTAAGGTCCTGGTGTACTATTCTGCAGCCAGACAGACATTTATTCCTGCTGTCTGAAAATGTAACCTATGCTGTCCTATCTCATAATAAACAAAGTGAAACAGAATATATGAAAGAAACAATTTTGAGATGTGTAACCTCGAGAGAGCTCCAGTTGACCTCGTAGCACACTTTCTGTAACAGCAGCCGTATCTTTTCTAGACTCCTCCAGTTCTGTGTGCCTGCAGGTTGACTGAGGACTGTGAGCAGAGGGTGAGGGCTATGGAGAGTCTGGATGTGTGCTCTCCAAAGTTCAGCTTCTCCCGCTCCGAGGAGGCAGTGAGGAGCCAAAGTAGCAGAATACTCTGTGACGTTCTCCTAGACCAAGCCGTCATGCCGGGAGTTGGCAACATCATTAAAAACGAAGCCCTGTTTGACTCGGGCCTCCATCCAGCCGTGAAGGTATGGGAGAGATGATGGATTGTGTTCAGCAGAGGAACAAAAAAAGAGAATACAAATGCAAGACAACTCTCACAGGGAAAAAAATAAGTTTGGGCACTTGTATTATTGAGTGATGCATTGAAATGAGGAAGGTGAAAGTGGGATAAGACAAACAGGCGCATTGCGACACGTACGTTCAGTTTGAAACTTGGAAATGTTTTTCATTTATTTTCATGATGGATATACTGTAGTCTTTATTGAGACTTGTGTAGGGTTTTTCATTTGAACTATAATAAAAAATATCACTCAAATATTTATTATTCATGATCCAGACATCTGATCACGTGAAATGTAAAATATTCAATGCTTCACATCAGTCTTAGGTTTTTCTTTTCAATAAGCAAACCATAGAAGCAAAGTATAATAGTTTGAGGGACCTATTCATTTCCAGTAGAAGTCCCTTAAGCATAAATACTGCTCTATTAATCGTAATTTTTTTAATACAATATCCAAATTGCAGTAAGCAAAGACTTGGTTAAGACGATGTATGTGAAAATATCAGAATTAAAGGTCCCATGTCATGCTTTTCTGGTTATTACCCGTCCCCTTGTGTGTTATGAAGGTTTTTCTGCATGTAAACGGTCTGCAGAGTCACAAACCCTCAAAGTACACCCTGTAGCGAGTAAAACTCTAACACAGAAAAGACCTGTCTATGCTGCCCCAGAACGCCTCGTTGGAGATTTCTCTTTTTCCATTTGTTTCTTCCGGGAACCGCATGACGTCATGCGGTTCCCGGAACCAAAATGGACCAATCAGCGGAGCTCCTCACACACCAGGACCTTTAGCGTAAATGTTCAACTAACAGGGAGTCCCATTGACTTGCATAGAGCTCCCTAAACGCTGGTAATAAACGAATTGGGATTGCGGAGAAATGCTCTCCGCAGACCCATTCTCACAGCGTTTATAAACCTTTTTCTTACTCAATATCAAGCCACACTTATTGTTTTTACTTCGGCTGTGAGTGTTTGTGTGTGCTCAGGATGAGTTTTGCTGTGTCCCGCTGTATCGCCGACCCGGAAACCACACCAGTAAGCCAGCTCACTGAGCAGCGAGCCTCCCAACGTCCCGACCAATCAGAGCACACTGGGCTCACAGGGAGGGGGGGGCAGGAGCTCCAACAAGCCGTTTAGGACAGATAGTGAATACACATACTATACAGAGATGCTGTATGAGAAACCAATGTGAGTTTGGAAAATTGCACAATATACCTCAACAATGGAATTATGATCAGTAGAAATGGCCATGACATGATGGGACCTTTAAGTATTGTCGGCTGCACAGGAAGTCCAGGCATACAACGATTTTAATAATAATAACAAATTGGTACAAATCCTCTTAAAGAAATATCACACTATGATAATTTTATTATATATTATTGTATTAATGGTGTGAACAATGGTTTCAAAATGGTCATTCCTCCTTAGCTCATAAGTAATATCGCAATTATTATTAGTCAAATTATTTCAATACATTTTTTTCTTCAAATCCTGCAGCCCTTCTATTACCTTACTATGTCTCTGCTCTCCTTTATAATCATAACATGGGGATTAGAGAATATAGCACACCGTACCAACATATGACATCTCTGACTTTTGGCCCCTTCTTCCTCTGAGACCGGTGAATAGTGTGTGAGCTTCCCCCTCCATTATGGAGCCCCGAGGTGTCCTGAAAGAACCACAAGAGGTGTCTGTGTGTGTGCCTTAGATCTTTTTACATTGAAACAGGTTCTCGCTGCCTGGGGTTTAAGTCTTGGAAATGCATTGTATGTCATTTTGCTCTGTTGCATCATTTGAAATTCTCTTTTTTTCTTTCATGTCTGGCGTTTTTTATTGTTTATATGCTTGTATCATTGATTTGCTGACTGTGAAGCGGCTTTCATCTGTGCTTTTAGATAGGAACTGCTATATTTGATTCACTCTCCTGCTGTGAACTGTGCTGCTTTTATTCTCAGGTTAAACAGCTGACAGACGAGCAGATCCACCACTTGGTCAAGATGACACGGGATTTCACTCTTCTGTTTTACAAGGTTTGAAGTTTTTGAAGCAATAACAAGAACATTTGGTTTAGCTGGTAATCATAGCTTTATATGTGCATACACATTGGCTTATGGGTACTTAGCTAACACCTCATTTAGACTGACTTGCAATAATGGTTTAACTTCAAATCTGTCTGTATTGCAGAGGAAGGATAGTACAATTCAAAGCTCCAGTGACTACAGAAAACAAACATTCCTGTCCATGCATAATAGATGATTATAGAAGTGAGGAAAGGTGGATGTGTTTTTCAGTTTTCTCTTTATCATCTCCTCTTTATTCACTCCTTGTTTGCCCTCCACATCTCTATCAGTGTCGCAAATCTGGCTCTCCTCTGTACAAACATTACAAAGTCTACAAGCGTCCCCAGTGCGGCCAGTGCTCTCGAGCCATCACGGTCTGTCGTCTTGGAGACAACGGCAGGATGACTTACTTCTGCGAGAGCTGTCAGACGGGTGATCCCAGCCAGGTTGAGCTCAGGTAAAAATCCTCAAAGACCTGTGGCACTTTGACTGCAGTTTTTTTTGTAAGGACTGCTGGGGTTTGGTACAGTGGTGTGCAAAAGTGTTTGAAGCCAACACTGCTTCCATTGTCTGAAGCAAGATAAAATAACATGCCCGTCTTCAGGAAAGGGATTGCACTTTATATCACAATTCTAAAGTGTATATAGCTTGTAGTAATAATTAGATTTTCTATATATTTACTGTATTTGCTTCTGAATAATTAACTAGATAATGCCTCATTAATACTAGTGAGGTTCAACACATGTAGAAATCCTCAGATACCTTTTAGTCTTTTGACAAAAAATTATTATTTATTTTTGCATTTTTGTGAGGAATTTTGAAATTTGGTCCCCATAAAAATGTATATTAAAACAATGCCCTTCTTCAGTAAGGGGATTTTGCTTTATATCACAATCATACTGTATATAGCAGGGATGGGCAAATGGCGACCCCCACCTCCTCTTTTTGCGGCCCTCAGATTAATTTAAAAACAATGTAATCTTTTTTTTTTTTTTTTTTTAACTTGTAGTACTGATACCGTCCACTAGACTCCTAGTTACGTCGCGATCTGCGTACATGATTTCGTTCGGCAGCCAAATACTGCGAAATAACCTGTGACGCGTTTGTGTGTATTCTGTTTGTGTCCCGGGGAAACACTCACAAGAAACACCGGCTGTTGTTATGCCTGCTGTGACGTTAAGTTACCGCTTGTAATTATGCCTTTACAAGCTTCAAAGTTGTATTTATCATCTGAATTTGGCGAAACAAGTTTAATATTCTAAAAACCAAGACTTTGTTTATTTGAAATCAGATGAAAACAAACTGTCACGGACCCTGCCGTGTTATCTATGATTACTATACGCTTTTCATTCATAATTTCAGCGGGAGGGAGGGGGAGCGGCGCTGAGGAACAGCAGAGAGTTGACAGGTGCCTGTGTTGACATTCCCCTTATTGTGCGTCAGCAGAGACAGGCTAAGTGTCTTAGCTAGGTTCAAGTTAGACAACTAATGTCTGGGTTAGTGTTCATGACTTCATGTTTATGTCATCTTAATGGTTAATCTTAATGCACACACATTTTCCGTGCTTTCCATTAGTTTAAAATAGTTTTATTCCACTGTTAAAGGTAGGGTATGTAAGTTTGAGAAACCGGCTCGAGATCGCTAGAATTTGAAAATACACGACCGGAGAAGAATAAGTTTGTGCACAGATGGAAGGCTGACAGGCAGGTAGGCCATCCAGTTATTTTAGCCGGGCCGGCTAAAATGATTGGTCGTGCTTTTTACAGTATTACGGCTTCCACAGATGACATTTTTTTATGGATTTTTTGTCAAAGCACTTAAGATATTCATTGCTATCGGGATGTTAAGAGAATTCCATGGAATATAACAAAAAGTGTTTCTGTAGTGAATTACCTACCCCACCTTTAATTCTTTATAACTAGCATATAACCCTTTTTGCAGGCTTTTGATGCTACATACATTTTAATTTAATGCCAAAAGCAAGACAGTGTAGCGAGTTGTCATTTTTCCAAGTCTTTGCAGAAAGTTCTAAAGCCTTTTAGATAATACGCTCATATTTATAGAGGCCATCTTTGCAGGCAGATGGGCTTGGCAGGGAGTGGGAAGTGTTATGGGGGAAATGAATGTGCATATAAGGCTGTGTTTGCCAGACAGGGCACAGGCTCAACACCTCCTGGGTTGTATTTGAGCAAAGCTTTGCGAGGGGTTAGCGCCTAAAGCCCTTACAACGCATTACACAGCTGATAAAGCAATCTGTGAGGAAAGTTTTCAGAAAGCCGCTGCTACTTTCCTCCTTCATGACTGTTGGCATTGCAGCATTGCCTTCTTGTCAAACACAGTTGAGCTTCATGTCAGCGCGCTAACATGTATGCTCGGAGCTATTATGTGAAACACGTTGTCGCGTCTCTTCATCCTCAGCCTGAAGCGCAAATGTTTGTCTATTTAAAGTCGCCTCTTCTGTCGGCCTATGTTTTCCATAATGAGGTTACAAAAATAGCTGTGGAAAATTGAATGTGTATTTCTCATGTTTTTATTTGCAGTTTGTAAGGATTAATTGCCTGCTATATAGGTAATCAGGGACATGTATGTGTACATATGCAAACACTGTAAATGATTCTGGAAAACTAACGTTTCCATTTCCATGCATCAAGAAGTCATTTTCCCATAATGGAAATACATTCAGTTGACAGTTTATTAGGTACACTTAGGTACAACTAATGCATGAAATACAAAACCCCTCATGAAATATTATTTTCATGAATATTATAATGTTCTCTTCTAGTGAAAAGTGTTTTAGAAAGTTGAATTGTCAATTTAGTTGTGTTACTGTTATGTGTTTTGTTAGTAATTCTAGTATTTAGTCAGCCATCAATTCTCTAAATAGTTTATATCGGAACATGTGGAAATATTCCGAACATTTGTTGACTGGTATACGTTTTAATCCCCAACCCTACAGCAAACATGCCGAAGCATCCTTTGGCGAGATACTTAAAAAGGACACATTCTGCTCATTTTCAGGATCATATTTGTATTTAGTGTCTCTACTGGGACATGTCTCCGTGCTTTAATGTTGAAAAAGCTCTTTATTTTTCTCTTACTGCCTGTGCTGCAGCACCTCTTTTCACCCTCTGTCTGAAACCAGAGCCCAGTCTGCTCTGATTGGTTAGCTGGACGGCTCTGTTGTGATTTGTCAAACGCTTAGAGATGTCCCGCCACTTAGTCTATATCACGTACAATTTTTGGGAGCGCTAGCCAATAGAAGACAAAATTACATAGTGATGTCACTGTGTGTCAGTAAACAAAGGAGTCCAATAGAGGTGTTTCAGGCAGGTGTGTGTGTGTGTGTGTGTGTGTGTGTGTGTGTGTGTGTGTGTGTGTGTGTGTGTGTGTGTGTGTGTGTGTGTGTGTGTGTGTGTGTGTGTGTGTGTGTGTGTGTGTGTGTGTGTGTGTGTGTGTGTGTGTGTGTGTGTGTGTGTGTGTGTGTGTGTGTGTGTGTGTGTGTGTGTGTGTGTGTGTGTGTGTGTGTGTGTGTGTGTGTGTGTGTGTGTGTGTGTGTGTGTGTGTGTGTGTGTGTGTGTGTGTGTGACTCCCTCTGGAGGGCACTTTTGGATTTAGCCTTTGCAGACCATTTACATGCACAGAAACCTCTTTAACACACTACAGGAAAGGGAGAACCAAAAAAGCACAATAGTGCCCCTTTAACCCCAACTTACTTACATAGGCTTGTATACGGTATTAAACTGTATGTAAGTCGCCCCTGATGAAAGCGCCGGCTAAATCAAATATAATGCTATAACCATGTGCACTCTTGTCTTTTCTTCATCCAGTAAGCTCCCGGTCAGAAACAGTTTGATTGGCTGGGTCTCCAATGAGAGAACCAATGATTGCGTGGCTAAAAAGGAGGAAGAGGACTGGGCCTGTCAGCTGTGCACGCTCATCAACCAGCCGACGGCCAAGTCCTGTGACGCCTGCTTCACTCCCAAACCTGAGGGTGAGTGAAACGCTGCTTTTACAGTCGCTGAGCGTAACGGAGTGACAGAAGGTCCTTGTTAGCAAGAGATCAAATAATAGTAGCTGTAGTTTGGCTGAATGATCCCTGAATGATGCCGTTTGCCAATGACACTCAAGTTCTTCTGAGCAAGGCACCAGACATCAAGCTGTTGAAGTGAAACTGCAGTCAAGCTCAGTTGTGTGTGTGTGTGTGTGTGTGTGTGTGTGTGTGTGTGTGTGTGTGTGTGTGTGTGTGTGTGTGTGTGTGTGTGTGTGTGTGTGTGTGTGTGTGTGTGTGTGTGTGTGTGTGTGTGTGTGTGTGTGTGTGTGTGTGTGTGTGTGTGTGTGTGTGTGTGTGTGTGTGTGTGTGTGTGTGTGTGTGTGTGTGTGTGTGTGTGTGTGTGTGTGTGTGTGTGTGTGTGTGTGTGTGTGTGTGTGTGTGTGTGTGTGTGTGTGTGTGTGTGTGTGTGTGTGTGTGTTGCTGAACAAGTAATAAGCGTGTCTGTCAGCTGGCCGTTTTTCTCGGACTATCTGGAGATACATTATGGCAGCAGTCAACTAGTGTTTAAAAGAAATGTCCTCGCTGTCTCCCTGTTGCAACCACAGACCACAGTTGAATGGTTTTCTTAGTATTTTGTTTTAAGGATCACACTGCCAAATTCTGAGTAAAACCAGTTTTTTTTAATAGTAGCTCATTGTAGTTTTATGAAAGATACTTACAAATAATTGCTCATGTCTTATTTTGTTATACTGAAAAGTATATGTAATTGCAGACTATCAAGTCAGCCTGAGGTTGGTTCTGATAATGTTCCCGAATTGTTCTTTGCACAGGACAGACACCGTCATTTTCAGGATATGTGGTTAAGTGCCAATAAAAACATTTTGCATATTATTTAGAAAAATAATTGAGATCACTTTGGATAGATCTTTTGTACTTTTTATTTCAGTGTCAAAAAAGTCAAAACAAATACTGAGTCCATTTTTACCGGAGACTTCTTGAAACCAACAGTTTAAATGTGGTTCAAAATTGAAATAAAGGGGATCAACAAAATCTTAAAGTGCAAACATGCGTGCAAAGTAACCCTGTATTTTTAAAGGCAAGGCAAGGCAAGGCAAGTTTATTTATATAGCACCTTTCAACACAAGGTAATTCAAAGTGCTTTACAAAAATGGAAGACATTTTAAAAATGGCATTTAAAATCAGTCATTAAAAAGGAAAGATAATAAAATAAACATTAAAAGAAAAAATACATGGATAAAAGTTAAAAGTTACAGTGCAGTTTAAGATGTGAATAGTTCAATTAAAAGCAGCGGCAAAAAGAAAAGTCTTCAGCCTGGATTTAAAAGTAGTAAGAGTTGCAGCGGACCTGCAGGTTTCTGGGAGTTTGTTCCAGATATTTGGAGCATAATAACTGAATGCTGCTTCTCCATGTTTAGTTCTGACTCTGGGGACAGAAAGCTGACCAGTCCCTGAAGACCTGAGGGTTCTGGATGGTTCATAATTTAGCAGTAGGTCAGACATGTATTTTGGGCCTAAACCATTCAAAGCTTTATAAACCAGCAACAATATTTTGAAATCAATTCTTTGACACACAGGAAGCCAGTGTAAAGACTTCAGAACAGGAGTGATGTGATCCACTTTCTTAGTGTCAGTGAGGACTCGAGCAGCGGCGTTCTGAATTAGCTGCAGCTTTCTAATAGATCTTTTAGTGAGGCCTGTAAAGACACCATTGCAGTAGTCGAGTCTACTGAAGATAAAAGCATGGACAAGTTTTTCCAAATCCTGCTGTGACATTAGTCTTTTAATCCTAGATATGTTCTTTAGGTGATAGTAGGCTGATTTAGTAACTGTTTTAATGTGACTGTTGAAACTCAGGTCAGAGTCCATGACTACACCTAGATTTCTGGCTTTATCTGTTGTTTTGAACATTGCAGACTGAAGCTCAGCGCTAACTTTTATACGTTCTGCCTTGGCACCAAAAACCATTACCTCAGTTTTATCTTTGTTTAATTGGAGAAAGTTCTGACACATCCAGTCATTGATGTGTTCAATGCACTTACTCAGTGTTTGAATTGGAGCATAATCTCCTGGTGAAATTGTTACGTAAACTGACATAAGTCGAAGTAAGTATTTTTGGATGAAACATTCCTTTTTAAAATCTGTGGAAATGTTTAACAGGAAACTTGACTGAGCACTTTTTGCCGTAATATCCTGATTTGCATTTCTGCACTTATATTTCCATTTTCTTCTGTTGACCACTGAGCTACTTCACTATAACAGCTGGGGGTTAAGTGCCTTGCTCAAGGGCACATTAATGGTAGTTGAGGGATGGGAGAGTGATACTTATTCACAGCTCTGTTAATGACTCTGTAAGGCATCGTTGTCAACATTACTGAAAACATACTTCTTTTAGAGTTTTATCACACGGGGGCTCATCTCACAGAAATGTTCATAAGGTCATCTTAAGCTCAACAGATTGTGTGACATTTTATTTGACGACAGAGAGCCGCAGTCTGCTGCTTACTTGTAAACTTTTATAGCAAAATAATAAACTTAAAGCCAACAACAACCTGGATTTTATGAGAGCAGACAGTGTACCAATATAAGGTGCAGCTGCTGAGCACGAAATGATTTTTCTCTCCATCTCCACAGTCCACAAAGATGGCACTAACACTGAGGCAACACCCTTCACCACTGATTTGATTAAATACCCCTGCAATGCCTTCACAAAGCCACAAGAGGAGCTCAAAGTCAACTGGAGGTCTGCATTCGGGACTTCCACCCTTGTTTTCTCTGACTTGAGCAAGAAGACAAAGCCTGCAAACTCCCCTCTCTCTTCAGCCGGGAGTCATTTGAATTCCTTGCCGGCAGAGCGGGGTTTATATAAATACAGCGTCTGCCAGGGGACAACAAGCCCCAATTATGCCTCTGGTGGCTGGCAGAGGAAAAGTGGCGAGCTCTCCAACGGGGAGTCGCTGGCCTCCTACAGTCACCCATCCAAGAAAATGAGAATTGATCACAGTCCCTTTCCCAGTAACAATGCTCAAAATGGGGCCCCCAACCCGAGGTGAGTGAATCTCTCGCTTGGCTATTCATGAATAAGTTTATAATAAGAGAAGTTTCTTGCAAACTCAGGGAGATAAGTGGGATGAAGAAGTATCTGACATGTGTGGACATTCTAATGCAGCATTGTTAAAAGAAAAGATTGATGAATAGCTATAATAGGATACCATTTCACTAACTCATAACCACCCTGGTGAAGAGAGGTTGTTTGTTCACTAATGAGGATTGTGAGGTTTACTGTCCATCCATTTTAAAACTAATAAGACTGTTTCTTTACTTTTGTCAGTAAGCGTAAAGTAGAAGCGACAGGCCGCAGCCCTTCCACTTCTTCCAGTCCCAGCGCCCCTTGTTGTGCATCCCACAGTCGTCCAGCCGTCCTCAGAGCGGTCCACAAGGAGGGGGAGAATAAGGGACGACAGTTTTACTCCTGCTCGTTGCCCAGGGAGACCAAGTGCAACTTCTTTGAGGTGAAAATGAAAGATTGACTCATCTATATGGCATTGTGTCGCCTGGAAAACAAATAGCTTTAGAGCAGGGGTGTCCAAACTACGGCCCCGGGGGCCAAATGCGGCCCGCGTAACATTTTGAATCCGCCCTCAGCAAATTCAAAAAGTATGACTCACTTAAGTGTAATAAACTTCTGCTTTTCTTATATTGTGCTTCTTAAATATGTATGTTCAAATATATTACCTGGTATTCATGTGTTTATAAGCCCAATTTTCAAATAAATTCAGTCAATTAAAAGGTAGTTTGATAAGAAAAAAGCCCAATAAAATATTTTCACAACACTGTTGGAGGAGCCTGTGACCTTAGATTGTCATCGTCATAACAACACTGTAGCTATGTTCGTATGACAAATAAAAAAATCTTGAAACCTTGAAATATACCCTTCATATTTCCTCTTATCAGCAATCTGAAGCTTAGATTTTCATCGTCATAACAACACTGTAGCTATGTTCATATGACAAATAAAAAAAACCTTGAAACCTTGAAATATACCCTTCATATTTCCTCTCATCAGCAATCTGAAGCTTCTGTTTTAAAGGGGACCTATCATACAAAATGCACTTTTTGATGTCTTTGGTGTCGGGGAACTCACGCAGCGTCAGAAAATAAAACCCTTTCTCTTTTCCTCCGTACCAGAATCTTTTAAAAACGGGGGTACAACGAGCGGATACAGATTTGCTGCCGATATGACGTAATTTCTGATGGTGGACCCAAAGAAAGTTGCTTTCAGAAACAATGCCTGACGTGTTTTGGACGTAATCTCGTCTTTGTTTACATTAGCAAGCCTCGCTAACACTCAGAGCTAACCTGTACTGGAGAGCACATGTGTTTTAAAAAGCAGGAAATAAAAAAAGGAACTCACCTTGTGATAAACCTGCAAGCGAAAAAGCATTTGAGCTCCATACGGTTTCAGAAATAATCCTTGATGTGGTTTAGAACAGGATGGCGTTTTATCACAGCAGAATTGAACTTTATCTCCGGTAGAATTCTGATCAGGCATTAGCTCCGCCTCCTCCACCCAAAATCTGCGTTTCTCTAACAGGGCTGGAATAGAGGAATATGAGGGATATCTAAAATGCATGATCTGTTTGTATTTTGAGCAAAACACATCATAGACATGTTTTTATATATCTGAGACCCATAATATATGCCTTAAAATAGCATGATAGGTGCACTTTAAGGAATGAGCTGCTAACAAAATGAATGAAACCCTATGGAGAGCTGTGGAGTAGGGAGTTTCTTTCTAACAGCATTTTCAAGTATCAAGAATAATTTACCTAAATTGGATTGATTTTTCCAACTTATAACTGAACTTATGAGGCAATATACCTCACCTCTAGTGAGTGGCCCAGCCCTTCGTATATTTTTCCGTATGTGGCCCTCGGTGAATCTAATTTGTAATGCCTAAAATAACCACTAAGAGGATTAAACCTTTTTTCTGTGTTGCAGTGGGCTGACACACACTTCCCCTCCTGTCAGCACGGGAAGCGCTGCTTAATGAGGACGGTTCTGAAGCTGGGACCAAACAACGGCCGCAACTTCTACACCTGCAGCCTGCAGAAAGGGAAGCAGTGTGAATTCTTCAAGTGGGCAGAGAAGGGACCGGGGATATCCATCCTCCCTGGTTGTTAATGTGTTTTAGCAGTGCAATACTTCTATATTCAACCCTGTGGCATATATGTTTAGGTATCCCTTCATTAGCTTGCTAAAGTTAGCAGATTTGCAAATTATATTTTAACAGAGAATTTCTATCAATGTTGTAAGTTCAGATCATGCCCAAACACTTCAGTTAGTCCAAAAATGTTGTACCTATATTTGTATGTCCTATTGTTGTCTGTGTGTTTCACAAGAAAAATAATAAAGAATCTAAACAAACAAAGCAGAAATTCAAATGTTCTGGAACCAATGTTTGTATTTTAATTACATTTTATTTATGAATTAAAAGCAAAATCATCAGCATAAAAATACAGAGGGAGAGTGGTAATTGTAAAACATATATAAGAGAAATTCATACAACATTTAAAAGCAGTCCACAGATTTGAGGACGGGTGTGTCTGACTCTGAGTTGGACACCATGAAGTGGAACTGGGAGAGGCCGGGGACTTTGTTACAGGCCGCACCTGAGGAGATCACACAGACAGATTAAACGCTAGCGGTGAAATAAAATGTTAACTCCTTTCTCTGTAACGCCCAATTCATACATAGTATTAAACGTGTACTCTATATACATAGACCTGCCATGCACAGTACAAACCCTTTATTACAGATACATTGGAAACCCTCTTCAGATCATCTTTGTCTATTACAGTGTACTTTCCATGAAGTTCCGTGTAATGAAGCTCAGCGCAAGTTCAACCAGGAAGACCTTCTTTTCTCATTCATTTACTATGTCTATGTCTATGTTATACTCTCTCTCCTCTCAATAAGTGATCGGGGGAGTGACGCCCCAGCTTAACCTATCACTTCGCTCTATTCCCACAAGCCTATCATAGCGCTCCTGGTTTTAAGCCTAAACAATGCAAATATTCTAAAACCATGTATTACTATTTTGAAAAGAAGTAAGATGTTGAGATTACAGCAACCTGTTTTAGTATTACAAACATCTTATCTGGTGAGGCTTGAATTACAATTATTTTTATTATTTTCCAACCCTTTTTTCCCCAAACTTTTATCTTAAAGGTAGGGTAGGTAATTTTGGAGAAACCAGCTCGAGATCGCTAGAATTTGAAAATACACAGCCGGAAAAAATCTGCCACTTCCTTACAGAGCCCCTCCTCCAACACACACGAACGCGCACATGACCAATGAGGGCACGAGATAAGTTTGTGCACAGATGGAAGGCTGACAGGCAGGTAGGCCATCCAGTTATTTTAGCCGGGCCGGCTAAAATGATTGGTCGTGCTTTTTACAGTACTACGGCTTCCACAGATGACATTTATTTATGGATTTTTTGTCAAAGCACTTAAGATATTTATTGCTTTCGGGATGTTAAGAGCATTCCATGGAATATAACAAAAAGTGTATCTCGAGCCGGTTTCTCAAACTTACCTACCCCACCTTTAAACATGCTTTCTTAAATATATATACACATTGAAATCAAATGCAAATGAAGACACACTGCCTTAATAAGTGTATGAATGTGCATATGCTTGACTGCATCCCTCTATGTGTGGTGTGAGTGCCCTTTGGCAGCAGCTGAACGAAATGCATTTGTGCACATTAGCACTCACCATAATGGCCTGTTGTGTTAGCACAGATGATGGCTCCAAAGAAGTCTGAGTAATGCCTCTTGATTCTGGAAATGGCCGTCTTGCAGGCTGCCGAGGGATCTGCCCCGGCCCTCATCAGCTCCACGGCCAAGTAGCTGTTGGCAGGATTACACGTGGTACACATGAGGAGAACTAACAAGTGCTGTCAGGGCCACCGACCAACGTGATGATAGGGATGTGTTTGAGATTATAGCGAGGGAAACATCTGATGCAAACAAATATGATGTGATGAAACACTGAGGTGTCAAATGTAGCTACTTCTATTCCACTAAATCTATCTGACAGCTTAAAATACTACGTGTCACTTTGCAACACAACATTTATATAATTATAAGGCTAAAATAAGATCGAAATAAGGCTGTATTTCTTCTCAGCGGGAAATGTATCTACAGAGCAGAGTTATATATCAAATACATGTAAATAAACTTAAAGTATCTTCACATTGACCAACTGTAACATTTAAGCGATTAACAACTTATTATAACAATAATATAAAACAATGATATATAGGATTTGTCAACTGGCAATTCTGCATACTGATTAATTACTTTGGGTACTTTAAGGGTTTTTTCATGCTACCCTGTTGCCTGTCTTGCCATATAAATAAATAATTAAAATGCAATAAAAACGAATTTCTTCGTCTTGGGTATTAATATGACTAAGATTTATTTATGAATCTTATTACCCTTTGTTTACTCAAGAGCTTGCAGGTCTGAATGTAACATCACTGCAATGTGAATTACAGACACCATGTGTCATTACCTCCATAATCTGGGGTCAAATGTAATAAAAGAGCAACACATTATAATATCCTTAATACAAAAAAAAATGTCTGCAAAAGTATTTTTAATTAGCAATTTTTTGGTCAGACCCTTCTTCAATTGCAATTTCCTAAAAATGACTTCTGGAAAAGTATAGAATTTCAACATGGAAATTGTCTAGTAACCTTTATTCCTCAGTTAATATGGACAGAAAATGTACTTTATTAGAAAGGTATTTTCCTCATTTGTTAACACGGTCATTAGTTGGATTTAAATCCCCATTTTTGTAGAGAGTTAATTTACATTTCATTGTTTCACGTAACATTACATTACATTACATGTTACTTGTTAGACGCTTTTATCCAAAGTGACTTACATACTCAATACTGTGGACAATCCCCACAGGAGCAATTTGGGGTGAAGTGTCTTGCCCAGGGACACAACGACATGCTGACTGCAGTGGGGTTTGAACCTGTGACCCCCTGATCCCAACACCAAGGCTCCATCCACTGCGCAACACGCCTCCGTAACACTCGTTTTCAGTATTTTTTGGACCCACAGCTATAAGGCCAGCATACAAGACGGATGTATTTTTAAACCGGGCTATTGCTGGTGATAATGATGATACATTTTGACAGTATTGTCATTAGGAAGTTTTGTTACCATACCTTTAAAAATTAGTGTGACAGGAGAATGAATGATAGACACACTTCGGTCCACAAGTAGCATGGTTTCTTGTAAAACACAACGCAGAATCTTTCCAGGAAGAGGCTCAGAAAACTATGATTGAAATAGATGGCCCTTGGGTGTGGTTGTGTGTGAGTCTGAATGTAAAGCAGAATGCAATTTAAAAAAAAATATGTACTCCCAAACTATCCTGGATAAATAAATCTTACAAAAACTACCCTTCTGAGACTGCCGTATTTTCACAGCCTGGAAACTAACAGCAGCTTCCGTGTCTAAAAAAAAATCTCACCTCTTCTGTGCAATCCACAAATGACAGTTTTGGGGCAATGTAGTCACCGCCTCCACTCTTTCTAACACTGGAGTTGTACTCACAGCAAAAGGTTCACACCAGAAATTGGCTGTTCAAAAACTGCACGTCACAGATGTCAATACCCGCTGAAACATATTTCTTCTGTCAAAGAAAAAGCCATGTAACGGTCTCATATTTTAAAAAAGTACCACAAACCCTGGTTAGGGTGCACAAAGGAGTTGTGATCCAGTCAAGATGTCTGATGGAATTTAATAGGAAACACTGTTCGAGGACTATGACAGGAAGCTATTTTCACATGCATTTTGAAGTGAGGAAGAAATGTCAGAAAACAATAGGTACCTTGGCAAAAAACGCATCATGAGGTCTCCATCTCCAGTAGAAGCGGCAGCACCAGCCGAGCTGTCTGCATACGCCCCCGCTCCCACAATAGGAGAGTCCCCAACACGACTGCAGGATGGAAATATGACCAAAATATAAACACAGAATAAGGCCACATGTACAGAGACAAATAAACTGTGGCAGCAACCACACAGTATGCACTCGTCCAGTATTGTAATTCATTGCAAAACCTTTTATAACTTAACTCAACTGGTCAAACAGAGGGAGAAATCACTGAAACGTACTATTTAGCATGTATAATGATTATGTCACATTACATTACATGTTACTTGTTAGACGCTTTTATCCAAAGCGACTTACATACTCAATACTGTGGACAATCCCCTCAGGAGCAATTTGGGGTGAAGTGTCTTGCCCAGGGACACAACGACATGCTGACTGCAGTGGGGTTTGAACCCTGATCCGAACACCAGCGCACTAGCCCACTGCGCCACAGCCTCCCTGTTCTACTCAGTAGCTATATCCGAAGTATCTTTATATTGTATTTACTGATAGGAAGCATAATATAACTGAGAAAATGCATGCTAAAACATGATAAGCATTTAATATGACACTAATCTACATACCCAGGAATTTTGTGAGTTAGTCCATTGGTTGATGTGCCAGCAGCCAGGTGACCGTGTTGATCAAGAACAATCATCCCTGGTGCAAAGATAACAAGTGTATTGAAATGTTAGCCGTCACCATGGTTTCCTAGTAGCTAAAGAAAGCCAGACAATCAATTAAAGCCCATGTGTGATGTTGGGCTATTACTGATGAAGATTGTCTGAGCATGACCTTAAAGAGACATATTGTGCACCTCTTTTCACCCTCTGTCTGAAACCAGAGCCCAGTCTGCTCTGATTGGTTAGCTGGCCGGCTCTGTTGTGATTGATCTACTCTACTGCTAGCGATAACCTGCCCCTTAGCCCATCATTTACAATGTGAGAGAAACTACCTCTGGAGGGAACTTTGGGATGTAAGCCTTTGCAGACCATTTACATGCACTAAAACATATAACACACTACAGGAAGGGCAATACCCTTAAAAGCGTAATAGGGCCCCTTTAAATCCCTAACGCCTCCAAGTGTCTTGATCAGTAAATAAATAAATGCTATAAAAAAACCCAGATTTGAACAGAAACAAAACCTGAATTGTTACATGTAACATCTACTTCAATTAGTCTTTCTATTTTTCTTTTTGGCACACTTTTCTGCTATCTCATCCATGTCTACTTTCAATGAAGTGCTTAAATACTGAACTGCCTGAGGATAGCCAACTTAACCTTCAGTGTTAAGAGATAAAACCTACCTATGGTGTCATGGGAGCGCGTATTAACAAGCTGTGCCCTGGTGTTCTGTCTCACTGTCGCCCTGGGCTTGTAAGGTCCACAAGACTTGGAAGGATCTGGAAAGACATTCTACAGACAAGAAAGAAAACATTATCACTGTTTGCATAATTTAATAATCCTTCAACTTCATTGTAATGGCACACAAGACGTGGCAAATTGCAGCCATTTGCTTTGATGTGCTATCAATAAAACTATCAGCACCAAGCGGATAATAAAAACAGTAGGGAGTCTCGTTCTAAAATCTTGAACAACTTGAAACATTGCATGAGCAAGACACCTCAGTTTGAATTCCTGCTGCATCTCAAATGTGTCCTTAAGCGGTTTAAATCTCATGTTTTATTGAGACCTGCAACCTAATGTACCCGAGGAAAGAGCAGCTTGAGAAAGGTTTCCCTGTCTCTCTGCTTTTTATGAGTGACTGAGTGTAGCAGGCAGCTTGACCTGCAGGGAGGTGTGAAAAGTTCATTTGCTCCTTTGATGTAACATTCTGCTGGAAAATGTCATATTTTGAGTTTAGGTGAACAGCCCCGAAACACAGGCCATAAAAAGGTAAAAGTGAAATGCTAAAAAAAAAAAATGTATTTTCGCATGGAGTGTCTGTATCAGCATGAATTTGTTTCAGGCTGACCATTAATAAATCCACGTAAGGATCACCTTGTCTGCTTCATGGAGGTGCCTGTGCATTTTTCAAGAAGTCTTCAATATTCCATTTCATAACCCGTCGAAACAATCTCTTTCGTTATGAACCAAGTAGCTACAGTTGTTCTCCTGGGACTTTAGCAACAATCTGAAAGTGTTACACACAAAGAAAGACTTCCAGGTATATCATACAGTTGGTGGAAGTTTTGCCTACATGTATGGACGTGAGGTAATATCGTAGGGGTGGCGAGTCAAGTGTGTACAAGATTATGGAGTTTTTGTATTTGAAAATATAATATCAGGTGATTGTGATTATCTAAACACACAAAGGCAAACCAAGTAGATAGAATAGAATAGAAGATACAATTATTTACTGCAAAATAATTGTATTTATTTTTATATTCTCTATTATCAAGGACTTAAAGAATAAAAACAAAAAAGTTCTCAAGAAAATGCTACATCAATCTAATTACTAGGCGTAGGCTATTTTCCATTTTATTTCTCAAAAATATGCCAATTTCAAAACAAAATGTTCACATTGGAATTGTGAATTGATTCAGAATCTAACAATCTTGATATTCTTTTATTAATCAATATTCCCCAGTCCTATTATTTACTACTGAATGCTTTCTAACCCTTTAACACAATATATCACAGGTTTTGATAAAGTTAAATTATTTATATTGCTATAAAATGTTGGCATGAAGAGTTTGGGCTTGGATTGAGAGGTAGAAGTAAAAAGCTTTTCACTTCCTCACTGTTGAGAGGACGGCACTTAACTCCTCTGTTTGCAGTGCAGCAGCTCACAGGTCATCACTGGAGGTGCTTGAACTGGACACCCTTAAGTGTAAAATGCTGTACATTTGATAAATAGGACACTCCACACTCTCACAAAAGCTGCTGACAAATCACTTTCTCTACAGATGTTGGGGTATTATGGAGCAAATGAATAGATTCGTTTTTAAAGAATAGCTACAACTCGACGCTGTAGGGCATCACCTTTACCACAAAAGCAGACATTTTTATGAGCTCCTTTTGTATGCCGGTCACTTTTCCGGCTTATTATCAATCTTTTAAAAAGGAGCACGCCTGTAGCCAATACAAGTGAGAAAAACACACTCTCTAATACGCGCGCACACACACCTTTCGATAATTAGGTTGGCAGTTGCCCTTCAGCCACTGCGAGAAAATATTCACAGAGTTGTTGGTAGTCAGGTCTTCTGCGACGAAGCCCATGTTTTCAGCAAACACAGAGGCTATAAAGAGAGAAGTAATACTTTCAGGTCAAGTTACACATTCTGCTCCACACTGACCTTGGGCTAGAAGGAAAGAAAGGGTCACAAACAAAAGAAGCACTGCAGGCAAACTCATCTCATTTGGGCTTTGGCTTGTGAGGGAGGACAGGTCTTACACCGCTTCTGATTTCAATAGCAGTGACCTTACCATTCACATAAGAAGGATGTTTCAATTCAAATGAATTATTTCATGAATTTCATATTTTTCCTAAGGATTTCTTGACATATGAGACATTTAATTTGATTTACAAGACACTAGTGGAACTACAAAGTAAAATATTGGCCTTCACTTTCCTCTATTAATGTACTGCTCTGTAGAAAATAAATCGCTATAATGCTCTTTTTTTCCTTTTCTGTTATACCACCATTCCATTTATGTTGAGAGGGTTATGTGTAGCTCTGATCCATGCATTCATCGCTCGCTGCTGATGTTAGTCGTGTAGGGATCAAAGCTTATTCAAGTGCAAAAAACACATTACGTGAGTGCCTAAAAGGTTTCGTGCTAATGTGACAAGCGCCTGATAAAGATAGTGCTAATGTAAGATCCAAAGAAAGGTGTCTCCTTCAAAACTACGAGTTAGATCTCTGTATTACATGTACATACAAAAATGTAAGTGACGAGATTTAAAAATATGTTAATATCACTTTAAAACCATGATTTGTTGTGGACATTTACCCACACATACCTGACTCTCCTACTAGCAGTGTGTGTTCAGTGTGCTCCATCACAGCTCTCGCCACCCCGATGGCATTCTTGATTCTTCTCAGGTCTGCCACCGCACCCACCTCCATTGTATCCCTGCAGGGAAAGAAAGCATTAAGTGGTTTGCTGGATACACGAGTATCTGTTGAAAGGCAACCTGTGGACTATATGACCTGAAGAAACTTACATATTATAGTTGAAATTAGTTAATAAGCACAGTGTGTCAACAAATGAAATACTACTCAGGCTATCATCATAGCCCAGTGTCCTATATTCATGAATAAGATACAGAAAAACACAGGAAAAGTAGAAATCCCCTTTACAGTGTGATGCAATTTCCAAGAAATGCCCTGTAATATATCTGTCAAACCTATAGCATTAAGTTCAATTTTCATTTGGGACTGTCAGGGGGAACTTTTTTAAGGCTGTAGTTTGTTGTGGTGATGTAATAAATTGCATCATAACGAGGTGTTTCTAATATTTATCCACCAAAACAGCTAAAGTATTTATATCTATTGCAGAGGTGCTGTTTTGGATTGCATTAAACTACACAGGTGTTTCCATTATTGAGCTCAGTCAAAGTATACAATATGCTGCTGCTGCTGCTGCTGTATTTCCTATGCAGCTATATTGGATATAGTGTGGGAGTCTATCCTTTCCCCACAATGTATTCATGACTTTTTTATAACCGAAAAAGTAATTTTTCCTAAAGAAGGAAGAAGGAACTTTTCCATACAGTTATAACAAACTGCTTTGCCTTTTGTCCGTCATCGTGAGCAGGCACTCGCCTCCCATGGTAACTGAGCGTGTAAATGTTTTTAGTGAGGGACTCGATAACTGTTTTCTGATCCTAATAATCTTAATTAGTGCTTTATTAACCCGCCTGTTGTCTTCGGGTCAAATCTGACCGATGTACTACTTTCATCAATCATAACTTTTTAGTTTTACATTCAATTGCATTAAGGCTTTATGATATCCTTCACAGTAGACATTTGAACATATAAAATTGCTGATCACCACTTTCATTGAATTTTGGATGATTTAGTCAACTTTGTAACATCCATGGTGTTCCCGGTCAAAAATGACACACACACACACACACACACACACACACACACACACACACACACACACACACACACACACACACACACACACACACACACACACACACACACACACACACACACACACACACACACACACACACACACCACACACACACACACACACACACACACACACACACACACACACACACACAACACACACACACACCACACACACACACACACACACACACACACACACACACACACACACACACACACACACACACACACACACACACACACACACACACACACACACACACACACACACACACACACACACACACACACACACACCACCACACACACAGACACACACGATGTGTCCCTGTCCCCCCCCCCCCCCCTTATGTGCCCAATCCCCCCATGTGAATCACACCTGGCACTCACAAACACACACAGAACAATTTGACACATTTCCCGCTCTTATGTGCCCATCCCCCCACATGGATCACACCTGGCACACGCAATACATGTTCAGTGTCTATTCTTTGCACATTTACTGCAGTTGTTCATGTATACCAGTAGTCTGATACAATATTTACAGTTTGAAAGGGTGTTAAATGAAATGTGGTGATGATTAATGGTTTTTGTGTTAATGTAATAGCAGTTAAAACAGGACTGGTCAAATTTGACCGCGAACACCAAAGTAAGGGGGAAACGAAGGCAATAGGAGGGTTAAAGAAATGCTGGCAGGAAAGGTTAACAGTTTATAGCTGAAAATGTTAAAGATGCATATTAGCACCAGCACAGATGTAAGACAGTCACTCAACATATTGACGGCTTCACGTTCTTAGTGGTCATTTTTAAATGAAATATAGGTCCTTTCTGTTCACTTACAGCTATATATTGCTTGTTTTCCAAATCCAGAAACACAGCAATGCTAGAGATTAAAGCGTTCATCAAAAGTGCTAAAATATAAGATATGGGAGCATTTCAACTGGGCTTATACAGTTGTACAGCTGCTTGTAGGTTGCAGTCATGACAGCTGGTCAAAAACGAAACAGCTGTTAAATCCCAGACAGCCGAGGCAAATTGTCCGTGTTACCGACCTTCTGCTTAATCCACTGCTTCTTCATGCTGCATTACCATGTCATTTCCTACTTTTACATTCAATTAAAGGGCGCTTTATGTCCAGGGTTTACCCGTTCATGATCATGGCATCCAGGGTGGTCTCTCCTGTCTCATCTGGGCTCCCACCGTAGCCCACACTGCCATCGCACTGCTCCATTTCACAGCGGGCACATCCCTTCTCCACTGCATCCAGCACGGAGCCGCCCGACTGCAGGGCGTTCCACGCTGCAGGAGAAGAACAGTGAGTCAGTATGTGACAAACAAGACAGATTGATAGGAAGTAAACACACTCCACCAGTGATGATATTAGTGTGAATTCTGACTGCTTAACGTATGAACTGATTATTTATTTGGCATAAAGATGCCTTTCACAGTTAGCTTGAGCCAAAGGAGAGGTGAGGTAAGGTCACATGTTGAGAAAGAAACTGGGTCCTGTTCTGAGAAAGCTTTCCTGTTACTGTTTACTGTACCTTTACATTTTGTTTATAGCCATTTTGACAGCTAATGTAATATGATCTGATATCAGAAACACATTTGCCGCTTCTGTTGAGTGTTATGGTGGTTAGGAAGCTTGTCGGGTGTTGCAATTCACCACACACACACACACACTCAAGCACACACTCTCTTTCTCCTTTTGTACTGAAGGATTGCTCATTGTGTTCAATGCTGCAGTTTTAAATGAATTGAAAGTAGACTAAAAGTAAATACCACAATGAATTGTATCTGCATATAATTTTCTTTATTAACTGATCAAATATTTGTCCCGTCATATTTACTAAAGCCAAAGGAAAGGTGAGGTGAGGACACATGCTGAGAAAATAACGTTGTATCCTGTTCTGCAAAAAAACTTTTCTGTGACACAATTGACTTTTTGTTTTATAGCATTGTTGACAGCTCATGTAATATGATCTGATACCACAGAGCACATTTGCTGCTTCTGTTGAATGGTATATGTTTTGCAATAAATCTATCAAATATTGGCTTTAAAAAGTAATCTCTTCTTGACCTATAAATGCTAAACCACACTTATCTCACGGGAGGCGTGTGGTGCAGTGGGTTGTGCGTTGGTGTTCGGATCAGGGGGTCACAGGTTCCCTGGGCAAGACACTTCACCCCAAATTGCTCCTGTGGGGATCGCCCACAGTATAAAGTATGTAAGTCGCTTTGGATAAAAGCGTCTAACAAGTGACATGTAATCTCCAAACTCTTGTCTGCTTTCTTTGAGAATGCATCCAAATTGTGTAAATAATCAAACTATTTAGTCGAGTTTACATAACTGAGCAGACATGTAAAAGGTTCAGATGCATGATGAGCTGACCACTGAGATGGATTCCTGACAAACAGAGACTGTGAGATGACGAGCATTTGGTCACTGATCCCCCTAGTGCCCATGGGGGATCAAAATACCAACTGGTAGCTCTGTCACCAGCTTGCCTCGAAACTCTCCGACCAGCAGGCTGTATCACAAATTCCCCCTCTTATCATTTATGAGTCATCCACCTATTCATTCTGTCCGTCTACCATCGCCGGTAAGTGCTCTTGTCTCAGGATATAATTCATTTTTTTTAATATATATATATGAAAATCAGCAGTACAATCCTTTTCACTTAGAAAACGCAGCAGAATGGAAGAGGAGATTAGCCTGCTATTGTCAGCTGCTTCTGTAAGCCCCCGAAGGAATGAAGATCTGCATGGGCGGATCAATAGTGGAGCCTCACACTTTTTAAATATCTGCCCACAGAACAGAGAGCCGGGCACATTTTTCATTTTCATACCCACCTCAGGTTTACGAGGTGATGCACATGCAATAAATTAAAGGGTATCCATCTATCAAATGGAGATTTTTTTGTTAACTTTACTCACCTGCAGCTTTTGATTTGTCGAGGTTTTTTAACACCATTTCTATCTTTTTTTTGTTCCTGTGCACCTGCTGGAAATACACTTCACTTGATAAGTTACAAGCAGTGCTGAGATATTTTCAGTTTCAGCTTGAACATCTCCAATGTATCATCCTGAAGGGAATCAAATAGATTTTGGGCAGACCTGGAAATGGCAGTTATGAAGCCTAGTGGGTTCTTCCAATTTCCTATCCCCATCTTCCACTCTGATGGTCTTAGATACTTGGACGGTTAAGCTGTAGTGGAGTCACAAGAATATTGCAAAAATCACATCATATAATAGTGTGAGGGGGAACCTGAAAATACTGGTTATTGAACCTGTCAGGGATTGCACTCCATTGCACACACAAGCACACACAATATGTCTCCTGTAATGATGGAGAACTGCTCGATCTTGCAGTTATAAATACACATTCAAATTATAAAAAATAAACCATTTTTTATTCCCTGTCTTTAATTTGTATTTTCATTGTATTTATTTATGTATTATCCCTGAGGAATATTACAACCCACGCTATTATGGAATGATCCTTTTATTAACTGATTAGTGTAATTTAATTATTATTTAAATATTTTGTAAACAGGAAAAGTTGAAAGCATGTCGTGCAGTATGCTGTTCATGACCCGTGTTCATAATAATAATTGAACAATAAATTACCATTTAATTAGTTTCATTAAGATTTAATTTGCAGATGATTTTCTATAATAACTGATTAATCATTTAGCCAATGAGACGACAGAAAATAGTGAAAAATGCCCTTCATAATTTGTAAAGCCCAAAGAAACATCATAAGTGTTGTTTTTTACCACCAACAGACCAAAACCTGAAGAGTTTCCATTTACCATCACATTCGACGGAACGAGGCACATTTGAAAAGCTGAAAGCGGAGAAAGGCTGAATTGATACATGACAAAAACAATTAGGCCTAATCGGTGGATCAAATAGTTACTGATTGATTTTATGTCTGAATTGTTTCAACTCTAATAGCTCAGCTCTAAACATTTCATCATTCATGCTTTGCTGTTACAAATACTCATGTTTGGAGACATATGTTATAATTTGGTCTTGGGATCCGTTTTGCCTCATTTGGTTGACATTATTTTGGGGTGCAGGATGTATTGCCTCTAATCTACATTTAGTTAGATAATATTTGCGTTGTATAAATATGTATATCTTTCTGTATGTTCATTTCAGACTAGTAGAATACTGAGCTAGATCTAAAAAAAGAAGGGCTTTGCTGTTGGATTGTGAAACTTTTCCAAAAAGATTCCTGTGGCTTGATGTGTCGGACTGATCTGATGTTACAAAGTACATCAAAAACTAATAGAAGTTGGAAGTCCAAATACTAGATATGTCCTACTTCAGAGGCTATAAGCTCCACAAGATGTGCACCACAAAGTGTTGTGTTTTCTACGGCCAATGGTCCAAAACATAAAGAAATTCTATGTATCATTACATATGACGGAGAGAGGCACATTTGAAAAGCTGGCAGCAGAGAATGGCTGAATTGATTCATGTTTGAAACAATTAGGCCTAATTGTTGGTTTATATAGTTGCTGATTAATTTTCTGTGTAATTGTTTCAGCTCTAAACATTTAGTCAGGATTCTAATCAAGAATGAAATGGAAAAAATGTAATCAAAAGAACATAAATACATAGTCGCTATTTAAGCCTTGTGAATTATAAAGACTCCTTCATCATAAAGAGTTTTGACAGTGTGCACAGCTATGACTATGCCACTAAATTAAGTTGTTAAATGACATGCATGCAACCAAAAACCGATAGACATGGAATCGTTTTTTTAAGTCTTAAGAGTAGATGCATTTCACAAATCATTAGGCCGAGGACATACGAGAATAACAAATCATAGCCTCTGCTCTTCTTTCAAAAATGATGTACCTTTTTCTGTAAAAAAAATAATTGCACTTGGTGTGTTTACATCCATACAGAACTATAAATAACTGTTATAGATAGTGATAATTTTACCTTCTAAAAAAACGACTTATTGACTACTTTACAGAATATCATACGTATGTTTTTGCACAGTTGCAAACCAACACAGGAAGCCTACTTGGCAATAAATATAGTGGGCAAAATAAGCCTTTTTATCTATATGTAAATTGGTAATGCAACCACAGTATACTACGCAGTGCAGTACAGTATGTGTATTAGTCTAAATTATATTGCAATAAAGAGCAACAATTCGTTATCTGTCTATCTATACAATAATTTAGACACAAAGGCCACAGAAACGATATGTTGGTGTTCAAAAAGATAAATCATATAAAAACGTATTTTTTCGGGTGGCATTATATCTGTTTGTTTGCAGGTTTTGGCCACAATGTCACATGACTGTACTCCAGAGTCCAGACTGAATGCAACTTTTTAAACAACACAGAACAGTGTGACCTACCTGCAGCCGTTGCATTATTGAATGGCCATGTGTTGATAACGAGAGGTAGCGATGTATGTCCAAGTGGAAACAGGACAGTTAGAGTAGAAAACAGCAGCAACTCAAACATTTCAAAACTGCATGAACATACAACGACACAGAGGACTGCTGACGTTATTTCCTATTCATTGCTCTGTCTCACTCCACCGTGAGTATTTACTAACCCAACTATAGATTCAAACTACAGATTAAAAGTGTGCACAATTATTGTTTAATTAAGGAAAATTCGCTAAACTGTGGTTTAATGTAACCCTACATTCAAACTTCCTTGTTGTGTCACATGCTTAGGGGCGGGTTCTTCCTTAAAGGGCCAGTACATCCGCTTTGACTCGGGGACATCTGTCTTGCAACAGTGGTAGGTTACATTTCTTCATGATAAAACAACATTAATAAATCAGGTGCATAGCAGCTTACTGTACTGTACAGTATGTATTTTACTAACACTGGAGAAGTTCCCTATATCAGCCTTTTGATCAAAAAAAGTTTCTACACTTCTTTGTGGAAGTTTGTGGGAAATAGTTTTTTTTTAGGGAACTCCTCCATAATTATTCTGAAGGTATTCAATTATTCTGAAGGAAATACGGCTATACAATGGCATACAAGACCCATAGGCCTACTATACAAAACCTGCATTATCTAAGAAGTAAGCACTGAGACAGGTTCCATATGTAAGCAACCAAGAGGAACCCAGAGGAACCACATTAGTGTTTCATTAGCACATATTAGTAAGTGTGGTTATTTTCCAACATCATTCCCTAGTCCCTAACCATGTTTAGCTATGTAGGCAGGCACATATCTGTTATCATGCTAAATGTTACATGCTAATTGTTTGTTCAGCGTGTTAACATAATAGCTGTTGTGCTAATTGGATGTTGCATTATGGTCTCCAGCCACCAATGGCAGCACTGAGTAGATGAGCAGGAAAGAAAAAACATATTTTTACAGAAGCCATTTTGATATGTCACAGCAGGACTAGCACATGTTTAATTAATATCATCAAGGATTGCATTACAATAAGTGAACCTGATTGCAGGGCCCTGCTTTTGTGCTTACTGGCTCATTGTTATGGCTTAAGGGAACTTAGCCATCTTTAACCAAATGTAATTCACCTGTAAGTCACTGTTTTTAGAGTGCGAGGAAGTTTACTTTCTCTCTGGTGAGTTTGTACTTTCAGCATTATTTCCTTCTTGGAACTTATAGAGACTTGAATCTGAAATGAGTGGGTCGGCTGGATATTGAACTAGTTACATTCAATAATTCATACAGGACTGCAGCATGGCCTCTGTAACTTGGCAGTGTTCACTGGTTGCCCTCATTCACACCAGAGTGCTCAGACTTGACCACTTCAGGTGAAACCAAGTTGTGCTGTCGGCTGCTTGGGATCATGGTGACATTTCTAGATGGGTTCATTCACTGCAGAGATGCCGGGAAACCAAGATAAGTGTTTGCTGCTTGTGCTTTTAGTAGAGGTCTTGGCTCAGGACAATTTGTTTGTGTTTGGCAAATGTCAGCAAACTCACAAAGCTGCCGTTGTTGCTGACTATTTCTCTGTCCAGTTTGAGCTTTTCCGATGTGTGCTTTACACAGATCCAGTTTGTTAGAGACATGCCTTTGTTGCAGGGTCTCTATGGGTGTTCTGCAAAGTAATGGATGTCATACTGCATTCTGTCTGCTTCTCTTTCTACAGTAGCTACTTATTTCACGTCTAGTTGTTTGTAGTGGTATTGATTGAAAAAGTAATTTGGCTTCCAAGCTTTTATTTGATTTCTATTTGATACATGTATTATGCCTTTGTGCTATTGATGTCACAAATGAATTAGGATTATCAATATTTCTTTTGATCTATGTGCTCATTTTTTTGTAGGGCATAATTATGCCTCATTTTGATGACATTGTGTTGGGTTTTGTTTAGGGATGTAAATGACTGTCTTGCATTACTTCTCTGTAATGTGGCTTCATTGAATACTGATAACTATGTTCACACATGGTTTTAGTGATCACATCCAGTTGCATTCATTGAAGTGTATATCCCTTGTATGAAGAATAACATATTGCTGTATGTTCTTTTTAGAGAAGTTGGCACAATTACTGAGATATATTTTAATAAGGAATGGCTTTGCTGCTTGGATTGTGAAAAGTTTCCATAAAGACTTTATAAAGCATAACTGTACAACTTCACAAATCATGCAGTTTCTTGATGTGTCTGACTGATCTTATGTTAACAAAGTACATCAAAAACTAATGAAAGCTGGAAGTCCATATACTAGATGTGATCCAAGTCAGGACTGGATTCTCCAAAGGATGTGTTCCACAAAGGTTTGTCCCTCAGAAGATCTGAGGTCCAATCTGTGGCTGCACCTCTTCCCAAAATGAGATGGTCTACCAGAGACCAAAACTAATTGGACATTCAGACAGCGGTCCCTCATCAACTTGTGAAGTAAAAAATTCACCAGGCATATGCTTTCAGACGAACGGAGAATGTATCAGTAGTTAATTAGGATAGTGACAATATTAAAGTTTTAAGTCAATGGGATATAAATACTTCCAGAACACCATTAAATAGCATATCTACAATAACTACAATTCCCTCTGGCAAAGTTCAGAAAGTAACTTTACTGTGACTCGGTCAAAGTATTGAATAGTCAAAGATAGATAAACTGTAAATCATCAAAACATAGAACTGTCTATTCTAGAAGACACAGAAATAGTTTAGTCTCCTGTAAAGAAAACCAGGAAGAAGAACATGACCCCTTTTATTAATGGAATACACTGTAGCCCGAATATATCATGATTGATTACTTTATTTGTCTGCATGCTATAAATAAGGAGCACACAATCAATACAGAAGCCCAGAAAAATCTAACACTCTTTTCACTGTGCATGCGTGCTTCACATGCATAGTGTGCCTCGCTCCTTGTTTTTCCTGCTGGGTGCTGTTCATAAAAATAAACTGCTGCTCAACGTAGAGATTATAAGCCCATCAAAGAATTAACAAATTACTTTTAGATTTAGCGGTTTGGGTTTTGATTACAATTCACACATCAAAATAAACTTCCCTGAGAGAGCAGTTTTGGCATGAAATCATTAGTTAAGTGTAATCTTATAATTTGAGCATATCAATCAATGTTCCGTCAGTCCTTTCCTCATCTCCTTCAATTTACCTCCTGGGAAGAAGCAGTCGGTTGTGACACAGTGAAGGAAACAGGTTGTGGTGATACATTTTGGCATACCCTCCAAGTCACACCATATGGCACGGTCTTGACACTTCATACCTCATGCTGGGCCTGGAATCTTTCTTTCAAGTTATTGGAATAACATATCCCAGCAGATGAGGCAAAGTGTCCATCAGAGGAGAGAACTTGATATAATTGGATCCTCTCATTTCTTACCAAACAAGAACAAAGTGTGGGCCATGCAGCAGAAGCTAACAATACAGTGTAACCTTGAGACGTTGACGCCAACAGCGTGCCCTCTTTTACATTATTCATATAAAAAATACAATTTTCACTTATATTTTATTCATTGGTTTTTCCTTAAACAATGGGAAGTCTTTGCGTGATTTTGACAGCGGTATCTGATGGAGAGAAAATGGATGAGAGGGAAGGAGAGTATTATTACTTTCACCTGTGTTATTGATCGAAATTAAAGAACAGCCGCTAAAGGAATAGCTTTTCAATAATAACTTCATCAGTCAGCGGTGGCCTTTCATGTTGCTTTGTAATGTCCTTCGTAAGTCTCAGAGGGCACACACAATGTCAGTATGGGTGCAATGGCATCTTAAGAAATTCATGTGTGGATATCTAAATCACCACACAGCTGTACATTATACAGTTTATGTTTTCAGTGCTTGCTGATCGACATTTGCTGACAGAATGTTGCAAAATTCAGTAAGTGATTACATTTATTGCCCAAGTGATACTGGATACTTAAGTTTGTTATATATCAGCGAATAGCCTTACATTTTTTTACATAAAAACATGAAATAAACAAAAGTTTTTTAAGAGTTATTGCAGTGTCTGTTAAAAACATGCCTGTTTGGAACTGGCCTATTGCTTGGCCTGTTACTTCATTATCATAGTATGTGCTTGATCTGTTTAGTGGGAATCATGTTTTAAAACGTACCCACATTCACTGTAAGGTTACTCATTGGTTCTCTTTATAAACTGCAGATACGAGGTGCTAAAATGGATTCCCAAACCTTGATCCCAATTAATTCTAGATTAATATTTACCATCGCTTATTATAGCAGCAATTTGTTCCATACCAATCAGATGAAGAAATCCCAGGTTTCCATTTGGAGGCATTTTTTATTACGAATCTTGGATTTTACCAAAATCATTTCTCTTTGAAGCTATTTTCCTGTCTTTTATGTACCTAGCTGTGCTACCTTGTGCCCTAGGAAGCAAAGAAACAAGGACAAGGAGAGAGATTTATATTCATTAATTCTGAGTTTGTAAAAACACTTCTGTGCAAAAGGACTTGAGTGCAAGACAATGCCACAACATACGACTCAGGGTTCCCAATTGTCCACAACCATGCCAGCAGAGATCAGAGGAACTAGGATATTTTTTTATTCTGTAGAGAGTAATACATACTCTCTGAAGGATTTTCAATTGTATAATTCTGAATCCGAGCGACTTGAAAATTACTGCAGGGCCTCTCGACATTCTTTCCCACTCTGCAGAGGTGATTGAAACCCTTAAGTCTAGTTACCTTTGGGACTGAGGCTGAATGTTGGGATTAGAGAGGGAATTAATCAATCAATCTTTGACAGACCTGAGACAGTACCTCTGTTTGATGCTAAAGAGCTAAACTGTTTATCTTTCTCACAATTATAGTCAGCAAATTCTTTGGGGAGTTTTGAGAAAAAAGGATTCGAATCGTGGCACTGTAGGGAAGTGTTCCTGTTCAAATGATATCTCCTTCTAAGCTCCTCCAAGGATAAAATCTCCCCATTCTCAATAATTTGAGAAATCTCTATAATATTGAGTTACTACCATACAAAGTTAGACAGTGTTTTCCCTGCAGATCGAATTATGTTGTTGTTCTGTAAAGGACAGGGTGCTAAAGCAAAGTTGGTGATTTTTAATGAACGTTTTAAAGGTCCCATGTCATGGCCATTTCTACTGATCATATTTCCATTGTTGAGGTCTACTAAAATAGATTTATATTGTGCAATTTTCCAAAATCACATTGGTTTCTCATACAGCATCTCTGTATAGTATGTGTATTCACTCTCTGTCCTAAACGGCTTGTTGGAGCTCCTGCCCCCCCTCCCTATGAGCCC